GGAAGAAGTGCAGCCAGAGTGCTCCTTGGAGGCCAAGATAGCCAAACTTCATCTCTCATACTTAGGCCATAACGTCAGGAGGGACCAGTCACTAGAGAAGGACATCATGTTAGGTAAGGCGGAGGGTCAGAGAAAAAAATGAAGACCCCCAACGAGATGGACTGGCCACGTAGCAGCATCCATGGACTCAAGTGTGGCAACAGTAGTGAGGTTGGCCCAGGATCGGGCAATGTGTCGTTCTTCTGTGCATAGGGTCGCTATGGGTCGCTACTGACTCGATAGCACCTAACAACAACAACAACAACAACCCTGTGTATAGAGTCCTGGTGTGGCACTGTAGGATCAGTACTGGACTAATCAAACCCACCAGCCGTTCCTCGGAAACCTTATACAGGGTCACTATGAGTCCAAACCAACTCAGTGGCACTTGGAAACAACAACCCAATGTATTCTTTAAGTACTTGAAAATTTTATTTCTCTGAGAAAATACAGAATTCACGAGTGAGCTGCTTCCACTCTCCTCTTGTCCAGCAGACACTTGGCTTTCCACCTACCCATTCCTTCAGCCTCCAATCTTCCTCTTCCCCCACATGGTCTACTGTCTTGCAAGCATCCCTTATCTCCAGTGACCTAACTCCTTCCTTTCTCCCAAACTTCCCACCAACACAATCTACACAGGAAAACTCAGGGGCTCACCTCCAACATCCCAGATGCTACCTCAGCTTCTTCATAAGAGATCAGTTCTAAAAGACCCATGGGTAAAAAAGGCAGGTTCTACTTTGCTGCCACTTGTCTGGTTGAATGGAGCCCCTGGGTGGTACAAGCTGTTCACAAGCTCAGCTGCTAACTGAAAGTATGGAAGTTAGAGTCTACCAAGACTTGGAAGAAAGACTTGGTTATCTACTTCTGAAAAAAATCAGTCATTGGAAACCCTGTGAAGCTCAGTTCTACGCTGACACACATGGGTTTGACTGTGAGTCAGAATCAACTTGATGACAACTGGTTTGACCCAAAGGAAAAAACGATTCTATGAGCCCAATGGTAGCAAAAAAGTTCCCATGATTTTTCTGAATGAAAAATAAACTTATATTTTTTTCTCTAAACTCACTTGGGACTGTGTACTTGTTACCTGCTACATACTGGCTCTGTGGTCAACCAAATCACAGTAATTTATAAGCCAATAACAGTCAATGAAAAATACTTCTTCCATAAAAATAAAGAGCACTTTGAAAACCCTGGGTCTCAAGAATCAGGCTGCCATCCTTCTTCCTCGCATCATCCATGCCTGGAACTCAACATCTAGCCATATATGACATGTCTCCCTGCTGGCCAAACAACTGCATCCCTTTATGTTTCTCTTCTTGGTGTCTCATTAAGCTTCAAGAATTAGTAACTCAGGATACCAAACCTGGTTGGCATTCTTGTTCCCCAGCCCAATAGAGGCAGCTAGCAACAGTTGTTAGCTCTAATCTGGAGCCCACCTATGCCTGCTATGTCTCTTAGCAGACTCAGCCCTCAGACAGGTTGTTGTTGTTGTTAAGTGCCGTCGAGTCGGTTCCGACCCATAGCGACCCTGTACAGGGTTTCCGAGGAGCAGCTGGTGAGCTTGAACTGCCAACCTTGCAGTTCAGACGGTTTTGCAGTCTGGCGCATTAACCCACAGCACTCCCCCTCAGGCAGGGCCATTTTTCAATTCATATGAAAACCTATTGCAGTTTTAGATATTACCAAAGAAGGCGCTTCTCACTCTCCCAGTGATTGGTCACCCTCACCACTAGGTACGTAGGAACAAGAGACTTAGAGAGACTGACCAGTGGGTTGGACGTTGACCACGATTCCCTCAGAACGCTTTTGGGTCATGGCGTACCATGACCCATCTGGATCCTGGATCCACTCAGCGGCCTCACAGTAGAACTCTCCCTGGTCGGAGGGCTGAAGGTGGAAGACAGTGAGACGGAACATGGTCCTTCCCACCTTGTCCAGCCGCACCTCCCCAAGGCTGTGTCTCTGGGAATATTCGATGCTGGAGTGCAGTACAAAGTCTCGGCTCAGGGAAATGACCTCCACGGGTTTCTCACTGCCTCTCTGCCGGAGCCAGGCCACAGACAGGTGGCTGTGTTGGAACGTCTCGGTGGCCACCTCACAACTCAGCTCGAGAGGGTCCTGCTCCACTTTGTGCAAAATTTGCGGTATGGCGGTGGTCTGCAGAGTGTCGGGAATCACTGCAACAACAACACAGAAATGTCCCAAGAATGCACTGTCACAAAGTTACAGAATCGGAGAATTACAGGCCGACTCACAGTCTTTAACAATTGAGGCAAGGCCACAGATAACCCCAAAAGGTACATACACTTAAAAAATTTCCTGTTTGATTTCAGAATATATTTTTTGGCACTTACCTCTTTGGTATTTCACTAACGCTCTGATAAAACATGGGTTGTTTTTCATTTTGCACAATAAATGAATTTCCTGAAAACATTATGTCCAAAGAATTTTCTTTTAGGTCAAAGATTTTGTTGTTGATTTTAGTATAGCTTCGAAATATTTTAATTTCACTTCTGTTATGGGTTGATTTGTGTCCCCTCAAAGTATGTGTTGGAATCCTAACCCTGACACAAACAAGATGTGTTCCTATTTGAGAATAGGCTGTCCTTTGTTACATGAATGGAACCCTATCAATATAGGGTGTGTCCTAAACCTAATCACGTCCGAGTTCTAGAAAGCAGATTAGACACAGAAAAAAGAGCAAACAGGGGAAAGATAATACATTTCATATGAAGATCGCCAAGGAACTGAGGAATGCAGGGCTTCAGAAGTTGAAAGAAACAGGATCCTCCCCCAGAGCCAACAGAAAGTTTCCCCCTAGAGCCCGTGCCCGAATTCAGACTACCTCATGAACTGTGAGAAAAGAATTTCTCTAAAGCAATTCACGTATGGGATTTCTGTTATAGAAGCACTAGGATATTAAGACAACTTCTGACTAATGTTCAAAATGAAAATAGCCCCTGAAACTTAAAAACTTGATGTTTCTACAGCGTCCTCATTTCCTCCCTTCCCTCCTTCCACAACTTACTTCAGCAATGCAATGCTCCAAGAAAGCCATACATTTATACATATGGCAGAGTGAAAAAATCATTGTCCCCTTACTTATAAGTAAGTTTGATTTTCAACCAATTCATCTTGTCCAAATGGAGGTCCACCCTGGAGGAAGCTGCAATATGGACACTTGATAATGCAAACTAAGGAGGTTTCCCCTGTGTTCTCTTGGTCAGCCTGACATCTCTCTGGAGATGAAACAGCAATACCTCTCTGACGGTGAGAAATGACACACTAGTGTGTGCTTTCTCACCGGAATCCAAGCAGGGTTGGGTGAAACCATGACTTGTTTGACCTTTAAAGCCTCCTGTTGGAATGCCAACTTATCCAGGGAAGGAAAATTAAACAAAGGACAGGGTTTGTGTTGATAAGACAACTGTGGCTACCCATCCCACCTTCCCAACACACAATTAACTTGGATGATAGAAGCTTGAAATGAAGACTTGGGCAGAAAAACAGCAACAGCCTTGATATTTTTAACACTTTCACCTTGTTGAACACCGTGGCAAAGCCCACATCCTTAGCAAAGCACCATAACCAAGACCAAACCCAAACCCCAAACAACTGCCATTGAGTCAGTTCCGACTCATAGCGACCTTGTATAAGGTTTCTGAGGCTGTAAATCTTTATGGGAGCAGAAAGCCTCATTTTTCTCCAGCGGAGATGGTCGTGGGTTTGAACTGCTAACTAGTGGTTAACAGTCCAGTGCTTATTCAACATTGCTATCAGGACTCTTTCCCATGGTCAAGTTGTTGTTGTTGTTAAGTGCCGTCAAGTCGGTGCCGACCCATAGCGACCGTGAACAGGGTTTCCGAGGCTGTAAATCTTTACGGGAGCAGGAAGCCTCATCTTTCTGCTGCGGGGCAGCTGGTAGTTTCCAACTGCTGACCTTGCAGTTCACAGCCCGATTCGTAACCACTATGCTACCAAAGATCCTTATTCCATGGTCAAGAGAGATATCAAAATAAAAACCCATTGCCATCGAATTGATGGCAGAATTCAGAGACCCAATGGGCCAGGGTAGAATATGGCCTTAATGTTTCCAATGCTGTACATTTTGATGTGAGCAGACAGCCGCATCTATCTCCCATAGAGTGGCTGGCGGGTTTGAACTAGCTCATAATTCCTTTCCCATGGATCAAAGGGACCTACTACCACAGCCAAGGTGTGGGCAAGGACCTACAAGCACATTCACTTCCTGAAGCGTGGTATCCTGTCCACATCAGAGCCTGTCCCAAGGCTGTCACCGCTCTTCCAGCTAATGCTATATGCTTCATCTCTCTGTTATTTCCTCAGCTCAGCAACCACAAATGCCCTCGTCTTATACTTTCATAGTCCCTTTCACCAGCCAGTGGGTTAGCCTTCCCTGAAATTCTTAATATCTACAGTCGGTTCCTTTAAAGTTTCAACATCAATCTTTTACTATATACAAGTTAAGCATGCATATGGTGTTCAGTTGATGCTGTGTTGTTGACCTATAATATGCCTTTGAAGTTTCTGTGACTTTTTTTTAAGAACAACACCTGGCAAACAACAAAGGCGCACTTCAGAAGAAGGGCACAGGCAGGACCTTTGGCCATGTGAAAAAAGCGTCTCCTTACCCACTAGGTTCATCTTGGCACTGTAACTCCCAAAGTACCGCTCATCTGTGTTAGGCGTGTGGCATTCATACTCCCCCACATCCCGGGCCTGGAGATCCGTAATGTGCAGTAAGGCTGAGTGTCCCTGGACCCTCTCCACGTAGATCTTTCTGCTGCGGACGCGCTGGGTGTAGATGGCATACGGGAAGGAGGAGTCCATGGTACTGATGATCTGTACCTCGCGCTCCGGGGCAGAGGGCAGGTAAATGGACCACTGGAAATTCTGCTCCGACGGCCCCTGGTAGCCACTCACGTTGCACCAGATGGTGATGTGGGAGCCCTCTGTGCGGTATAAGGGTCCTTCCTGGACGGTGACCTGCCGCTGTGCTGACACCACACCTGTGGGAACAGAGACACACCACACACTTGCTTATATCTCAGACCAAAATGTCAAACAGGCAGCCACCTTCAAGAGGTCTCTTATTTGTGTGTCATGGTAATGATACCAAAGCTGACTGGCCTTTTTAGAGATGCTCTGTGATGTATAAATATTAATGAAAATACTCAGTGGTAAAATGCCATCCCTGATTTACATATATAGGAATTTGATAGGGCAAGGACGAGTTTTTCCTTACTTATTCAGCGGCTGACCCTTGGGAAAACCATTTAGTCCCTCTGTTTGCCATCAAAGTGGCAGTTTTACATCTATTTATTAATGCGGTTTATAAAATTTTTAATAAAATGAACAGGGAAAGTTGCCTCCTTGGCACAAATTTACATGAAAACAAATACAAGCAACTGTTGTCCAATCTGAAATAACAGTTCCCTCCTGGAGGAGGCAGCTGGTGGAGCTTGGGACCCTGTTTCTGGTATCATGACCTTCGTTTTCCAATGTGGCTCCCCACACCCTCCCAAGGACATCCAGCTCCTCTTCTACATAAATGGAGGCAGAGCAGGCACACCCAGGAATGTGGGGATGGAGACAGATCCACATCCTGACAGAGGGCAAACCCCACAAAGGCCAACACACTGCCCTGGAGCTCACAGCCCTGATTTGCCTACCAGCCCCCCTGCCTTCTGACTGGATGTGGCTCTCCAAGTGGGCGCGTCTGACTGCTCTCTCCATGTCCTTCCTCATGGGGGCTATATCCTCACGCAGACAAAGGAGAGAAGACTAAAAGTGGGTGAATTTAATTTCTTATTCCTGGCCAACCACGGACTATGCCTGACCCACCCAAAGGTGCTTGACCCACTCTTTACTGTTCCTCCTGCGTAACCACTGAGCACAGCAGAGGGAACAAATACCAGGCAGAAAGAGCAGGTGAACTCTCGTTATAGCTCTGCCATAAATTAGAGTTGGCAGCACCATCCTGGGCAACTTGTTTTCCTCTCTGGACTCTGATCTCCTTATCCATAAAATGATAGAGAGAAAGGCTTTAGTCTCCTGGTGATGCAGGCAGTAAAGTTCTCAGGTACTAGTCGGCCCCCCACCCCCAATGGTGCTTTGGAAGAAGCGTCTGGTAATCTTCTTCTGAAAGATCAGTACTGTGACAAACTTGAGGTCACCCTGAATCCAGATGCATTTGATGTCAAGGGGTTGTTTTTATTTCTGCCTTTCAATAAGGCTTTGGAATGGGTCGGCATACGTTCCAATGCTGGCATTGGCACTTATCAGCTGCGACTTTGGACAAGTTACGTAACCTCTAGGAACTTCAGCTGCCGTTATCTGTAAGATGGGGATAATAACATGTGCCTCATAGAGTTATTATAAACACTGGATAACATCTTGGAAGGCCCAGCCCACAAACAGTCCTCAGTAAAGAGTGCTGCTAGCAAAGACCCCCTTCTGGCTGGAATAATCTATGACTCTGGACCCTCACAGGACAGGACTTGGCCCACGATCACCCAAGGACATTTCAATGGCCTCTTGACAGTGACACCATCTCTCCAGGCACAGCTGCAGCCCATCTTCCTGGACCGACTCTTCCCCATAAAAGGGGAATCGCAGCTGCCCCATTATAAACCTATCTGAAGGGGATCCAGCTGGTGAACAGCGACTCAAACCCTAGCAGTCCATAGCTGAGGGGTCAGCCTTTGAGGTGGTTGTGCCTCAAAGACAGCTGATTTAATCTGCAAGACGAAGGACCTCAAAATGAGCTTTGCAAGGAAAAAGGCCCGTGGCTTACACACTTTTATTCACATAGAGCCTTTTCTCCAACACATGACCCCATCTTGGCTTCAGCAAGATCAAGTTCCAGAAGCAGCATACCCAAGCGTGAGAAGAAAACTCATTAGTCATTTTCAGTATTTTAAAATTTGGCATGTAATATTTTGACTACGTGTACCCTACTTACAGCAATTGAAATTTATACACATATATATGGTGACATTTGAATCAAGTGTTTGCAGAACTCCTGAAAAGCAGAACAATTTCAAAACAATTTAACTCAACCCAGGAATAAATTTAATCAAGGATTTAAGAGACTTATATAAAGAAAACGACAAAACACTACTGCAAGAAATCAAAAGACTTGCATAAATGGAATAACAAATCACGCATATGGATAAGAAAACTTAACACTGAAAATGTCAATACTTTCCAAAGCAATCTATGGTAGTGGTGTGCCGTGGAGTTGGTTCTGACTCATAGCGACTCTGCATAGGGTTTCTGAGGTTGTCTTTTTTTTTTTTTTTTAAAGTTTTCACTGTGAATTGAGTTATAGTTTACATGGCAGATCATCAATTTTACACTCATCCTAGTGTATTTCGTTTCATTGCAATGATTACACTCCCCTCTATGCATCATCATTCAACAGTACTTGCCTCTATTTCCTCTGGGGTTTTTTTTTTTGGATGTACACCAAAACACTCAGGAATATACAATCATCCAAACAACCAAAGGGCACATTCTGCAAGCCTGTCCCCTGGCCACCAGCACACAGCCCCTTGCCTTCCAGGAGTCTAGCATCCTCAGCTGCTCCCTCTCTCCATGTCCTCATCTCTGCCTCTTTCCCTGGAACCACTGCTTCTTTGGTTAGGGTCCCACACTCTGCTCCTGCTCTTCTTCCCTTACGGTCCTAGGGTCCTCTGTTCCTGGAATGTAAGACTAAGTACACCCCACCCTTTTTGCTACGAAACTTCTATTTTTATAGTTGTGACTATCACGATTAGTCATGATAACAACTGTTGTTGTCGTTATGTACCGTGGAGTCGGTTCCGACTCATAGTGACCCTGCACAGGGCTTCCAAAGCTGTAAATCTTTACGGGAGCAGAAAGCCTCAACTTTCTTCTGTGAAACAGCTGGTAGTTTTGAACTGCCGACCTTGAGGTTAGAGCCTGACTCGTAACCACTACACTATGTTGTTGTTGTTATGTACTGTCAAGTCGTTTCCGACCCATAGCAACCCTGTATAGGGTTTCCAAGGAGTGGCTGGTGAGTTTGAACCGCCAACCTTGTGGTTGAAATGACTTTGCAGTCCAGAGTATTAGCCTACAGAGCTATACCGGGACTCTGCTATAGATATAACCCCAATCCAGATTCCGACATCATTCTTTAACAAAATAGAAAAATTTATCTCCAACTTTGTATGAAAAAGAAAGAGGTTCCATTACTGAAGAAGAAGAACAAACTAAGACGTCTCACAGTTGTTGATCTCAGAATTTACGATACAGCCACATAGTCACAATGGCCTGGTTAGTAAGGTTCAATAACAAACACACTAAGGAAATAGAACTGAGAACCCAGAAGTAAATCCATCCACCTATGGGCAGCTGATTTTAGACGAAGACTTGAAATCCATTAAATGGGGAAGAGATATTACCTGTAAGAGTGCTGGCAAAACTATATATTCGTTTGCAGAAAAATGAAACAGGATCTATACATACCTCATATCAGACACAAAAACTAACTCAAAATGGATCAAAGACCTAAATATTAAAAACCAAAACTACAAAGTTCTTGGAAGATAACATAGTTGGAAAAAGGGAAAACCCACCACCGCCATGGTGTCAATTCTGACTCACAGTGACCCTATATTGGGTTCCTGGACTATTAATGCTTACAAAAGCAGGGATTTGAACCACTCACCATGCAGTTAATAGTCAAACACCTACCCCACAGTGCCACCAAGGACAAAGTTAGGGGTCCTAACTTATGGCATACGCTACCAAATATAACAAAAAAGGCACAGGTAACTGGCAATAAACGAAATAACTAAGAGCTTCTAAACATTAAATACTTATGTTCATCAAAAGGCTTTACCAAAAGAGTAAAAAGAGAACATGCAGCCTGGAGGAAAAACATTCTGGCAGCAACAGATCTGACAAGCGTGTGATATCTAAAATATATAGAAAACGCCAGAGCCTCAATAACAATAAGGTAAACAACCCAATTTAAACTGAGCAAAGGACACGAACAAACACTTCACCAAAAACAGCATTCAGGTGACTAACAAATAGACCAAAAGAGGCTTGTAATCATTATCCATTGTTGTGATTAAGTGCAGTGGAGTTGCTTCCGACTCATAGTGACCCCTGTATAGCGTTTCTAAGAAGAGGCTCATGGGTTTGAACCGCTGACCTTGCAATTAGCAGTCCAGCATTTATTCTACAGGACTCCATTGTTGTTAAGTGCCATCAAGTCAGTTCTGACCCATAGAGACCCTGTATAGGGTTTCCAAGGAGTGGCTAGTGAATTTGAACCACTGACCTTGCAATTCAAAACAACTTTGCAGTCCAGCACATTATTTACCCACAGCGCCACACCAGGAGTCCATTAAAGAGATGCAAATCAAAATAACATGAAATCCATTTCACCCCTTGTAACAATGGCACTGAGCAAAACCTAAAAAGCAACAAATGCTGATGAGACTGGGGATGACTACACCTCTTATACACTGCTGGTGGGATTGTACAATAGTGTAACCACTACAGAAAACAATACGGTGCTTCGTCAAAAAGCTAGAAAGAGAAATACCAGATAATCCAGCAATCCCGCTACTCAGTATATATCCTAGAGAAATAAGAACAGTGACAGGAACAGACAGATGTTTAACCATGTTCATTGCAGAATTAATCACAATAGCAAAAAGATGGAAACAATCTAAGCAAAAAGATGGAAACAATCCATCAATGAGTAAATACATTAATGAACAGTTTGTGAGAAAACACAATGAAAAGATAATAGAAGTTTTCTGCAAACCTTTTGGCACACTTTCATACATACAATGGAATACTACACAATGATAAAGAATAATGCTGAGTCTGTGAAACATAACATGGATAAATCTGGAGGAGATTATGCTTAGTGAAATAAGTCAATCACAAAAGGACAAATATTATATGATCCTACTTTTACAAAAAGTCAAGGTTTACATATCATTTCGGGACACCTTGGGCA